CTGAAACGCAGGCCAGAGCTAAAGTGCAGCCTGATGCAATTAGCTCAGCGCAGCAACGGGCCTAATGGGGTGCGACTCCGCTCCTGCCGGCGGTCCACTGCAGGCTGGTGGTCCTCCCTGGTTCTGATGGGATGCGGCTCCGTTCCTCCCAGCAGGCCTGGTGCAGGCTGGTGGTTCTCTGCATGAGGCTTCAAAGCCCCACTAAGAGCCCTCTGCCCTCCCTGCTCATACATCCCCCCACCCCGGGGACCTACTGTCAGAGAGGCCAGCAGGGGACACTGCCCCACCAGCTGGGGTACTGGGTCCGCTTCCATCAGAATCACCGGGACCAAGGCCTCACCTAAACAGGCCTGCAGATACCCCTTGGGGCTCCTTTGGCTTTGGGTGACTGTCTCCAATGGGCAGCTGTTTCTGCCCCCCCACCCCACCTCGCTCTTCACCCCCAAACTTATTGGACTCTGGCTGAACTCCTGGGAACCACGGTCACTCCTGAAACTACCTCTGATGAGACCCACACCCCTCACATCCCAGCGATCCCAGTCCCGGGCTCTCCGACCTGCTTTCTGGATTTTTATTTTATTTGTTTGTTTGTTTGTTTATTTGTTTACTGCTTATTATACAAGGTGGGACAGGAGTAGGGTTACCGTTGTGAGTCTGCGAAACCCAGGGTTTATTCTTGTGCTAATCTTCATTAGCTATTGTATTGTTTTCCATAGGAAAACTGTATGCCTGCGTCTGCCCCCCTGTAACTGTAATGATGATAATGGTAATGGCCATAGTAGAACGTCTGGCAAATACAGAAAAGCGTAGGCAAGAGAATAAACGTCACCCCGAACCCTCTCACCCCAGGATAGCACCCCTGCTAACATTTCAGCGTTTCCCTCTGACACATATTGTCCTCATGGTGGGGCGGTGATTGCCATCTGTGTCCTGCTTCTCTCGTATAGCATCCCAGTGCAAGCATTTTGCCATCCCCCTGAGAACGCGTAGGAACCGTGATGTTTAACGATTGCATAACATCCCACCGTCAGGCTGAGGCTCAGGAGACCAGCGCCGTCCTCACGGCTGCTTTCACCCTGAGGTTCCTTCCCTTTCATGATCCAAGTTTGAGAGTGAGGCCTGCAGCCGGGCCTGCCTCCCTCGGGCGGCCGGGTGGGAGCTGTCCTCCCACCAGCCTGGGTCCCCACCCTGCGCCTGCCTCTGTCTCCTCCCCAGTGGGATTTCTGGGGCCTGCGGGCGGGTGTGGGGGCAGGGTGGGGCCTGGGAACTGAGCTTTGGAGAGCCGCTCTCACATGTCAAAGGACCAGGTGGGTGGTGGCACTGAGCCTGCACTGAGTACGCGGCCGGTGCTCAGCACAGGCCCATGGGTGTTGGTACCGTTTACGAATGCCCCGGGGGCTGGAGGGACGTCCATCTCAGGGCAGAACGCTCTTTTCTTTGTGGTGGCTCCAGTGGCGGGAGTGGCCACGGAGGGTGACCGGGGAGGTCCTGGGGTGGGTGCTCCGGAGCTGGGAGTTTAGCAGAGGTCACAGCTGCTACGGCTGGGCCACAGGCTCTGTCATTCCCCCGGGACTGGCCCGTGGCTCAGGCAGCAGCAGGACTGCTGGGGTGGGGCCAGGGGTCCCGGGTCTCAGGGCAGGACCCTTGCCAGGCTGTGCTCACCTGCTGCTCTGCTTCTCCCCAGGCGCCCGGCATCTCCAAAGCAGACAGTCAGTCCCAGGGGCTCACGACCAGCATCCGGTGGGGGCAGACGCCCATCAATCAGGCCACGCCCTGGGACACTGATGAGCCGCCCTCCAAACAGATGAGGGAGAGCGACAATCCAGGTGTGTACTTCCTCGTGGGCAGAGGCACCTGTGCCCAGAGCTGGGCAAGGTGCTGGGCGCCTACGGGGCACCCCAGCTCCTCAGCAGGTCCTGACGCCGGGACCTGCAGCAGCCCGGACCCCAGGCTGTGCTGAGTGGGGTGGGGGCACTGCGTGTCATTCCCTGGGCAGTGGCTGTGTCTCTACCCCCTTTCTCTGCTACTCAAGAGAGTCGCTGGGAGAAAGCAGGGGAGTCAGAGTGACTGGTAGGAGTGACTCTGAGTGGGCTCGGGTGCTTTTGAATAGTTATTCCCAAGCAGCAGTACCCTGGTTCATAACAAGTTCCTCAAGTCACACCTTCCGGTGAGCTCTGCCTTGCCAATGGATACATGGGGAGGGGGTGCCCCACACCCCACGCAGGACAGGGGATTCACGCACCACTTCCTACAGCAGGCCAGGCCTTCTTTGGACAGCGGGGACCATAACCAGAGCCTTCCGTGCTGTCTCCATCTGTCCCACACCCCCCTTAGGATGCACACACGCATCCCCTTGGCCCTCCGTGCCACAGCCCTGCAGATACCTGGAGAGCCCACTCCCTCCCTCCCCCCCCCAGTCTTCTGTGCGATAAGCACTCATGTTCTTCAGCCCCACCCGGAGCCCAGTTTCCAGTCCCTTTCCCTTCAAAGGGGTTGCTCCGATCTCATTGCTCAAAAGCGATCCCCATGATCACACACGAAGGACTGTGCGTGGCCGCCCCAGTGCCTCCGCTCAGCCCCTCTGCTCTGCCCACCGTGGCCTCTGTCCTCTCTGCCCACCGCGGCCTCTGTCCTCTCTGCCCACCGCGGCCTCTGTCCTCTCTGCCCACTGTGGCCTATGTCCCCTCTGCCCTGCTGGCAGCCACATCACATGCTGTCTCAGCAGCAAGAGCCCAGTGCTGTCCTGTGGCTGCCCTGAACCTGTCCATCTCCTCGCAAGCAGGTGAGGCAGCTAGGGGTGGAGGCCCCAGGGCAAGGCCTTGTCCATGTTCTTTCGTGACCCTTGGGATCTCTGAGGTTCCTGCTTTCCTTGCTGACCAGTGCCTCATCCTCCCAATAGTATGTCACCTTGGAAACAATGATGAGCAGAGTTTGGCTCACACCATTGGACGCCTCTCTGCAGGTCTCGGCATCCTCTGCCACCCCCCCCCCCCCCAACACCACTTTTTTTTACATCTAGGCCTCCGCCCACGGCACCTCCGGATCTTCCCACAGAGCCATCCGAGACCTCCCAGCTGCACTCGGAAGTTCTGGAGCATTTTCTCGGGCTCCCTGGCTAATCCTGGAGAAAACTGAGCTTAGCAGGCCGTGCTGTGTCCTTGAGACACCAGGCTGGCTTGTGGTGACGCCGCCTCCTCTTCTCCAGGCTGGGGGACAATCTCCCCTCGGCAGCCCGTTCTAGAATCTTGCTGGTGCCGCTTCACCGACATTTGCCAGCTTCTCTGTCCTCCAGCCTCTTTGTGATCAGGGCTGTTGGTTGCACGGGTATGACGTCCTCGTTCTATGTCATCTCGCTGCTCGCAGCAGCCCTGCCAAGCGGGCGTCATTCCTGTCCCACGGCAGGTGGGGAAACTGACTCGGGGAGGCTTGTGCTGAGGTCACTCGGCTAGTGAGGGCAGAATCAGGCCTAAAGCGCTGTCCGCCACCATGCCCGGTGGCTCTCCCTTCGGACAGCTCCTCGGGGACAGCGCCCTCGGCTGGTTTGATAGTTGCCCTGCTGTCTTGATTCTTCCCCTGCCTTGTGATCTTATTTCTGTGAGAGAGCTCACAGCCCCAGCTTCTAGCCCAGCCATGGGCAAACTACGGCCCGCGGGCCGTATTTGAAATGAATAAAACTGAAGAAAAAAAAAGACCGTACCCTTTTATGTAATGATATTTACTTTGAATTTATATTAGTTCACACAAACACTCCATCCATGCTTTTGTTCCGGCCCTCCGGTCCATTGTGGCCCTCAAGTCAAAAAGTTTGCCCACCCCTGGTCTAGCCTCTGGGGCTGGTGGCCCACCCTCCTCCCTCGGGGCCTCGCCCTCAATCTACACAGCCACTCCAGAGGCGTCAGGAAAGCTAAGGTGACATTCAAGTGGTAAAGACCTACATGTACCCATTCAGTCAGAGACAACCCAGACTGGCCTTGCCTGTCACCGTATCCACTGGTCTCACTCAGAAGCCGGCTTGAGTCCCCTCAATGGCAGCTCGCTCAGGGGGCCCTGGCCCTGCCCTGCCTGGCCTGGCCTTGCGTCTTGGACCAGGGCTACCAGTTCCTTCAGGGCCAAAAAGGATTCTCACGTTTCCCCCGAGGCTGGCTTTGCAGAGGTTGCCTGGCCCCGCAGCGAGGCCATAGAGAGCAGCCCCTACTGACTTCCCATACCCACACACCCCCAGCTCTGCAGCTCCAGCCCTGGCCCAGCGAAACCTGCCATCGCAATCCAGCCATCACCGCCCCTCCGTGATCCTCCAAAGAGGAATGGGAAGTGCCAGCATGTGTGGAACATGCCGCACATACGAGGCCCTCTGCTAGTTGTTTTAAAGTATGTTTTCCTCATTCCCTTCTTCCCAGGAGACCTGTGAGGTTGGTGCTGCTAGTTCCATGTAACAGGTGGGAGGAATGAGGCTCAGAGGCGATGAGCAACTTGCCCAGGCTCTTAGCTAGCAAGTGGCAGAGCCAGGCTTTGAACCCGGATCTCTTTGAAGGCCTCCCCATTTTTCTGTCTGTTGTGTTGCCTCTCCACCTGTTCCAGGAAGACTGCTGTCCCTCCTGCGCCCTCGCAGCCATCTGCTCAGATATCCTAAGGCGCTCCTCTCCTGCTCCTGTAAGCGCAGGTGCTTATCCTGTGAGCTCCTGGGCACAGGCGTCTTGTCCACCCCTGTGGCCCCGGCGCCCAGCCCAGGGCCTGGGGCAGCCAGTGTTTGTTGAGTGAATGAATAACCGGTAGATGACATCTCTTCCATCTCCCTTGCAGGCACAGGGCCATGGGTGACCACGGTGGCCGCCGGGAGCCAGCCCGCCCTGATCGCACACTCCTATGGAGTGGCCCAGCCTCCCACCTTCAGCCCAGCCGTGAACGTCCAGGCCCCGGTCATCGGGGTGACCCCCTCACTGCCTCCACACGTGGGGCCCCAGCTCCCGCTGATGCCAGGCCACTACTCGCTGCCACAGCCGCCCTCTCAGCCACTGAGCAGCGTGGTGGTCAACATCCCCGCCCAGGCCCTGTATGCCAGCCCACAGCCCCTGGCCGTCTCCACACTGCCTGGCGTGGGGCAGGTGGCCCGCCCGGGACCCACTGCAGTGGGCAACGGTCATATGGCAGGGCCCCTGCTGCCTCCGCCGCCGCCAGCCCAGCCATCCGCCACTCGTCCCAGCGGTGCCCCGGCCACCAACGGGCCCCCCACGACCGACTCCGCCCACGGGCTGCAGATGCTGCGGACCATTGGTGTGGGGAAGTATGAGTTCACCGACCCCGGGCACCCCAAAGGTAAGTCCCGCTGCCACCTGCTCCCTGTGTGCCTGTGTCTGTGCCTCCCCACGTGGTCACTGCGATGGGCACGGACAGGAGCGTGGTTCCTGGCGGCCTGTGCTCCCCCGCAGCACCCTCTGACCTCACCCACCCTGGAGGCTGCCGTAGGGCCCCCTGGCCTCAGACAGAGGAGGAGGAGGAAGACAGGACAAGGGTGCAGGGCAATGTGAGTGGGCAGGAAGAGGAGGGGAGGGCAAGTCTGCCAAGTCCAGGGTCCTTATGCCTCCAGCCCAAGCCCTAGGCCGTTTCACCTCTGACCCCAAGGCCAGGCCAAGTGCAGAATGAGCAGGCATCATGTGTTCCCCTCAGGGCTCCATGAAACAGTCCTATGGGCCTTTTCCATCTTCCAGCATGCAGACAGGGGGAATATGAACTGTCCGTGTCCCTCCCCAGAAAAGCACCCCCCACCGTGCCATCGGATGAGAGCGCCTCCCTGGGCATTCGCCGAGGCCCAGGAGACACTCCCAGACCGTCCTGAGCCAGTTGGATTTTTTTGTTTCAAGGGCCCAAGGGTGGCTCGGTGAGGCTCTGATGGGGCCCCTGGAGCTCCAGACAGCCAGGCCTGCTCGTGCTGAGTGCGGAAAGGAGGCAGCTCGGCCTGGGCCCGGTGCAGCAGGAGGGACATGGCCAGCCGTCTGCTTGCTGGGGGACCCAGGCCTCATTGAAAGGGGAGGGGAGGTGGACCTAGGAAGTGTGAGTCTCTGGGCACGATCCTCAGCCTCCCCTTTTTCAGCCTCTGAGCCTGCATCTCGGGGGCCTTGCCTCTTGGGGAGCACTGGCTCCAGCTAGCTGTTCTCTTCCCGCTTCTGCTCATGAATCTCCATCTTAGTCCTTTCGGGTGATTTCCAGGCCTTGTCAAGCACCCCCACAACCTAGATCTTCACTGGGTTTCGTTCCCAGTCTCATGCGCACCGACTGTCTTTGTTTTGGAAATCAGCACTAGTTTTAAGCAACAAAATTATAGAAAATCACATCTACATTCTGGTAAACTCTTGCTTTGTTTAAGATCTTTTAAAAAAAGACTAAATTAATTTTTGTGTTTGGTTTTAGGCTCTCTCTCCCTTTACAAAAACAAAAACTTGCTCCCAGTGTATTTGTTGCCAATTCTGACACAATGGGCACTGGGTCTCCCAGCAGCTCCAAGGCCTTGCCAAGGCCTGAGGCTGTGGGTGGGCTCCCTTCTCCCCAACGGGGGAGCATAACCCCCTAACCAGGCAGCCTCCCGGGACTGATGAAGGGTCTTGCTGACTTGCCAGGTGTCAGACATGCATCTAGGAAAAGGCCTTGTTCTGTGCAGAAAGGAAACTTGTAACTGGACTGGAGTCCCTCGTGTGGGGTTTAGCAGGGAACTGGCATCCGCCTCCCCAGAGCTGCCAGGCATCATCCCCAGGCACCTGAGTCCATAGAGCAGGAAGATGCAGTGGCCCCTGCTGGCCCCTGGGCACCCTGGTCACTGCAGGGTCAGACCTGTAGCATCTCTGTGGGCCCGAGGACATGAACCATCCTCTATGGCAGGTCCAAGCCCATGGCCAGGAGGGGAGAAGAAAGAGGGGCCTTGATGGGCTTCCCTCTTCCAGCCCCAGAGGGTAGATTCAGTGCTAGGTATGAGCTGGGGTGTGCCTAGCAAGTGTCCACAGCGCCCCCTTCTGGTGAGTCAGTGAGATGCCCCACCCCCAGTGACAACCCTCACACAGACTTGGAAAGTTTGCGGGAGAGCTGACTGTTTCCCCCAGAAATTACATTGAACTTGATTCTCTATGTTCACGGCCTCGTCTGCTGATGTATCTCCTTATATTCCGGTGAAGAGAGACAATGAAACACGCACATACAAATGCCTCCCTACTCAGGCCTGGTGGGTTTGTTGGTGTGTGTGTGTGTGTGTGTGTGTGTGTTGTGGTGTTTTTTTTTAAGTAATTTCTCCTTTCATTTCTAATCCTAAAAGCCTGTATTGCTAAAGCTATAATTTGTCTGTCAGATCTAATGTCAAACAACTGCATATTTTTTAAAATAAGAAGCCCGCATTTCGAAATCACATCTTTGGAACTTGCCGTGTGAGACTCAGATTCCTGACAAGACCGTGTGGGTTTGGATTTGGGTCACTTTTAATTCCGCCCCTCGGGATGTTACATCTCCCGAGCCCCATTGATTTCACACTCCTAAATGACAGACAGCGGCTCCGAGAGGGGTTCGGGAGGCACTGCGTGGTGTGTCAGCCCTAGTCTGGACTCCACTTTAGGAAAAGAAGAACTTGCCTTCTCCCCTGTTCACTGGCTGAACCTTGCCCAGCGTCATAATAAGGCCCACCGTGGCTCGCCTTGAGATCTGGCTCCTTAAAGTCCCGAGACTTCCCCTCCTATTGTTTGACGTGACAACCTAGCCTCTCACGGGGTTGAGTAATTATGGAGAAATCCCATCCACGAGGAGCGGGTCTTGCCAGCCAGAGGGAGGAGCCACTGGTATTTTTAGATTTCATTAGTGCCCTGATTTAAAATTTCACATTTTGTTTCTTGTCATTTTACCTTCCAATCGGCGGGGCTAAAATTTCCATTGGGGCAATTTATGTTAGTCTGCCTTCCCCCCCAAAAAGGGTGTTGGGACTTTCATCTGAAAACTTAACCAGTTGAAAAATAAAGGTGGTGTGGAAATGCTTTTTGATTTGCAATAGGTCAAGCTACCGCCTCTCATCTGTGACGAGGGAAGGCAGCTTGCATGCAGTTCGCTTTAATGAGTGTTATTTAAATGCATTGAGCACATATAGATTTTCTTACGAAACTTGCAAGGATAAATCTTTCTTTCTCTAAGCACCATTTGGGGGTGGAGCAGTCTGTGGGGTTTCTTCCTTATTTGGCTTAAGGTGATAGACGGAAAGCTAATTAAAACAGATTTCACGTGTGCAAAGTGATAAGGGAGGAAAAAAGAATTAGTTCCATTTGTATCCTGTTGTAAAACACCAGAGCCATTTGTCTTGTTGTTGGATTGGGTCCCCTGGGCTCATCCGTGGGCAGAGGTGGTGGCCAACCTCAGGCCTGGAAACCGTCAAGTCTAATGTCACGGCACTGGTGCCAACGCAGCCCAGCGGAGGGGAGGGCACAGTAGAGGTGCAAGCTACTGATGTCATCCTCCCTATCCCCTTTCTTTCAAAGGATTGCTGGTAGCTGAGAGGGTAGCCAGAGACCTTGTGAGGCCCAGCCCTGGGCCTGGTAGTAGCTGCAGAAAGGCTGCTGTGTTTTCACCCCCGTGTCCAGGACAGAGAAGCCAGGCTGCTCCTGCTCCCACTTGCTTCTGCACCAAAAAGCCAAGTCCAAGTTGACCTGGAGTGAGAGGCTTGTCTGTTTTGACTTTAGACTTTGTAGGCCCAGAGGGAGGGGCCATGAGGGCTCCCAGGGTCGGGGAACAGGCAGTGTGTGTGGCCCCGTCCTGTGGTTCCACCTCTCCTCACCTTCCATCCTTGGCCCTGGGCTTCCAGCCCACGGAGCTCTGTCTGCCCTCATGCCGCCTTCTGCTTGGCAAAGACGGGATCTGCTGAAGATGCTTTGGGGCATAGTGAACAGCTGTGTGACTGGGGTGCGTCTCTTAACCTCTCTGAGCCTCCTTTCCCTCGTCCACCCTCGAGGAGGATTTGAGGGGACCAGCACGAACACGAGTAGCACTGAACCCCCTTTACACTGAAAGCAGTCGTCCTGTCGACAGTGGCCCCGGGTCTGGGGAGTCCAGCCAAGCAAAGAAGCTCGTGAAAGGATGAAAATCCGGGCCCCGCCCAGAGCTGGAGAGGGGGAAGAAGCCCAAGCTTGTTCACAGGGCTGGCAACCCCGACCAAGTCCCTTCGTGGCACTTCCATGTCCCTTCCCTCCAAGCTGATGCATCAGCTGCCCTGCAGGGGGACCCAGGACTGCCGTCCCCAGCTGTGAGGCAAGCATAGATCCCAGGTCTCCCTCCCCTGCCCTCTGCCATGCCAGGGCACACTGCGCCCTCTGCACCCACAATGAGTATTCTAGAAGAAGCTGGGAATGTGCGGTAAAGCCGTTTGCCCACACACGGTAGCCCAGAGGCACGAAATGTCCAGACTGAAGTCATCTTCCCACAGAAACGCTCTTACTGGGTCTCCGTCTCAGAAATGCCGTCAGGAATCCATCCCAGAGTTCAAAGTCGCAGCCTGTGTTTGTCCTTGACTCGCCTTTTCCCCTGGGGCACTGGGTCTGCAAACTCTGTGTACCCTGCCTCCTCTGCTCAGTCCTCTCCTCTCCACTGGCCTGCACTGCTGACCTCCAGGCCCTCAGCGCAGCCACAGCCACAGCGGTCCTGTCACTCCTGGTGGAATGCGTCCAACAGCCCCTCTCCTCTCAGGACTTGCCCATCCCCCACCTGGTGCTTAGGGCCTGGCTCCTGCCTGGCTCCCCCTTCACCTGTTACCATTCTGCTCACAGGCTGCCCCGTAGCCACTCCGCTCCTTGGTTCTCTCCCAGCCAGCGGTGCTCCGTGCCTTGACACAGCACCCACTCCTGGGTCATTCTCCCAACTGGATGGCCAGTACCCATTTCCTTCCTGTGTTCCCCTTCCTCCTCCCCCGACCCCCCAGCCAGTGCCCCGCTCTGAGGGATGCTCAAGCAGCGTGAGATGGGTGAAGGCACAAAGCACTGGCTGGGAATGACCCGCCACGGTTCTGTGACTCCTCTCCAGCTGCCTCTTCCCTTTGGGTGGTGAAGGCAGGTTGGTGCCCAAGGGCCTGAGCAGACAGGAAATGCCTGTGGGACTTCATTCTGCAGCCGGGCAGCCCATACCTTTCCCCTGCGTCTGCTCCTGTCCCCAAGCGCCTCAGCAGAATGTGGGTCCTGACATTGTCTCCATTCCTTCATCTGTAAAAGGGGCATCATCACAGGATCTGGTCCTTCCAGTTGTTGTGATGGGTGAGCGAGGTCTTGGACGTGAAGCCGGGAGTGGTGCCTAGCACATAGCCATCC